GGGGCGGGGGGGGGCGGGGCCGGGCCGCCCCCCTGCCGCACCGGGAGGCAGCGCGGCTTCTGTGGCGCTCACATTTAAGCGCTCCACTTAGTGCAGTCACTTCTGGGGCTTTATTGCTGTGACAAGTGGTCTCGAAACCCACTACTTGAGAGTGGCCGGCGCGGGGCAGCACCGCCGCGGAGCTGCCAGAAATTCTTCTGTGCTCCGTTTTGTCACTGAGCTGATGAGTGACCTCGGGGGAGACCCCGCCGGACCCAGCGAGGAGGAATGGCTTCCTCTGATGTCCCCCAGACAATAATTATGATGTGCCAGTTAAGCCCAAACTACAGCTGAGGGATTTTACTTTAAAGCAGAGGCTCGGGCGCAAAAATGCATTTATAGCTCTTTGTCTGGCACCTCATTATGTGTGGGCCTGATTCATTAAGTAATTGGTTTGCAGTTGTTTACATGAGTATTAAGGCTTTCTATTCAGCAGCCTTTGAGAGATACATTGTGCAAATGTTGCATGTTATGAATGCTGAATGAGGGGCCGGGGACCGGTCCTATTGGCTAAACACTGCGCTCTGTTGAAAAGCAAGAGAAAGAGATTGGGTGCTGCTTTGCATAGCAATGACTTTCTTAATAAGCTTTACAGATTGATACACACAAGCTATAAAAGATGCAAAGAGATACTCTTAGCACATTTATACATGCTCATTTCACTATTATGGGGCTGGAGAAGGGAAGAATTGAGGGCTTTCATATTCGGTTTTTCAGTGCGTGTCTTCAGTGCATGAGACTTAATAGAATCCGATGTTTATTGTATTATAAATCACGGGGAAGTAGGCAGATCTGCAACAGTTTATTATTAAAGATTCTTTCAATGTAAATCTTTTTCTGCCATTGTATTTCCTACAGCAAAATCATTTTGTGGTTGAGTGGGGATGAAAGGCATAATGTACGAAGGAGTGAGTCTTAATAGGAAGCTGCTCTCCGAGTAAAGACCACTTGTTCCCTTTTGTTCGGAGGTGCATGCCAGAGCTTCCTCTTCTCCCGCAAATACTGTCCTGCCCCACGTTTAGCTACAAAACTACTTTTTCCTGCCTTCATTTACTTTACGAGGGGAATATTTTCACGCACAAAGGTGCCACTTTGGTTTGCAGAGTTTGTGTTTTGCAGCCGCAAAGAGCGCGCTGAATGATGCAGTTCCTTGGGGGAAAGGGTATCAGAAGTCAGCCGGCCTGTCTGGGCGGCAGGCGCTGTGTGTGGCATCCCGTGGCCGGAGCACTGGCTGCAGCCAGAGGAGGTCACTAGTTTTCTGGGTGACGCTGAGTTTTTGATGGGAGCAGTTTATTTTCCTTTGCCTTGTTTGTGCTGTCTCGTTTCGGAATAATCTGGAGATTAAAGGTGCATTATCAACCGAGACCCAAAGAAGCGCGTTAATGCGTCAGGACGCAAACACGCCGTAGAGTACTTTTAAACTTTGATTAATCTGTCCTGTGGCAGTAATCCGGGCTGGTCTCTGAAGGCTGCTTTGGAGTCGAAAGCCGCCGTCACCAAACACAGACGTAATGACATGCAAATAAAAGTTGGCAGATAATAATTCATCCTGTTAATTACTCTCGGGGGCGATGCTGAACGCGGGCCGCTGCCGCTGCTCCCTGTGCCGAGGCGGCTGTGGCCATCGGGGGGCACTCCGGCTCTGCGCATCCCCCCTCCGAGCCAGCACTGGCTCTGCCTGGCTGCTCTGGGGAGAGATTCCCAAGGTTTGGGGCTGGGAGTGGTCAGGAGCTTTAGCAGGAAACCCAGGGGAAGTGGCGTGGTGTGTTCCCAGGCTCCCAGGAGCTGCACCCACAAACCAGCCTCATCCCGTTGTATTTCCAGCTGCAAAATCACTTCTATGAGAAGTGACTGTAAATTCAAGCACATTTTTCCTGATGTTCCAGCTGTTTCCTTAAGCTTTGTTACCTAAATTTTAACATCCAGCTGTTACAGAAACAGCAGTGTGGAAGTGGTGATGCTCCATGAATGTGGTGGGGAATGGTTACCCATGTAAATACACCGGCCCCGTTTTACAGAGGACACTGCATTTATTTCTGTGGTGATGACCTGTGCTCTCCCAACAGTTTCATCCCGGTGCTGTGATTCAGTCTTTGTGTCCGTGGTTCCTCTAGGCAGGAATGGGTTTTTTTCCTCAGTGCGGCATATCTAAACAGAATGGTCTTAAATGTAGCTCAATGCAGATCTTTGTAGTTCATCCTATTTGCAGTGTAATTACTTAAATTCAATATTAATGCTTTAATTCTGGCACGAGGAGTGGGTTTTTAGTTTATTCTGACTTTCCAGCGTGGGGAATACTTCTGTGGTGCTCAACTTCTAGTAAAGGATGAGCAGGAAATAGCAGAGCTGTCGGGCTTCTGCTGGAGCTGGAGGATGGTGTGTGAGCACGGGGGACACCCAGGTCAGTGGCACTGGTGCTGAGCAGCAGCCCAGGAAATGCTTTTTGGGGCTGCATCTGGAGCTCCTCACCCCCACGTGGTGCTGGGGGGAAGCTTCATCTCTCTCTCACCGAGGGTTGATAAACAGCACCCTGTGAAAGAGGGGTTCAGTTTGCTTTGCACCTCAGTGGTGTGAGCACAGGGTGGAGGCATCCAGCCCCCACAGGAGCAGCCGGAGCATCGGTGCCCCCGAGGCTGCTTTGTGTTTAGCTCGGGTGTCTGCCAAAGCCTGTCATTTGGGTGGTGGTTTTTCCCCGGGCACTGGGTTGGGGTTTGCTTGGTTGGTTTTCCCCGTGATGTTTGGGTGGGTGGGTTTCTTTGTGTCTTTTATTTCTTGTCTTTTTCTCCTTGGCATCGGGGTGTCTTTTTTTTCACTTGACACCAAAACGTGAGGTTCAACAGGTGCTTTAGCAAAAAGGTACTCAGCTAAAGGAAGCGTTTCTGCTGTTGCCAGCGAGACACCTCTATTAACTTGCCTATTGTTGGTCTGGCTTCTTCCTCTTAATATTAATTTTCTTTACAGAGGGAGAAATATTTCCTCGCAGCTTTTTCATTTCTTATTGTTGCAGCATCTTCAATACAAAAAGCCTGTTTCATCAGAGTAAAGGAGAGATTAAAAGGCCCTTTGAAGTTAAACTGGTTTGGGGTTTTTTCTTTGTTAGAGCCTGGATTCAGTTTGGAATTATTTTAGGGAAGAAGCAAATGTGTAAATGGATATGGAAGGGTCACGACGGGGGATTAGTGGAGGCAGTGCAACTGGCTTTACTTCATTTATACTCCTAAATTTCTCCGTGGAGGTCTGTGTGGTTATTGTGTGCTCAGGATCCCAGATGATAACTCCATGATTGAGTCTGCCGATTGCTGAATACAAATGCTGTGCAAGGTAGAGGTCTCCTTGCATCTTATCAGCCTTGACTAACACTTCAGATGCGGTTCAAGAATTTATTCCCCATTACAGAGCTCTCTCGCAGCATTTTGCAGGTTTGGTTTGGTGGAGCTGAGGTTTCCAGTCTGGGATTTCTGATGTCTGAGTTTCATTTTCCATTCCTCCCTGGGTGTTTCTCTGTGCTGACAGCTCCGTTCCAGGCCTTTGCTGACACCCAGCTCCCATCTCTCTTTATGGGCTGCTGTGTCATGCCGACACCCAGCTCCTGGTGCAGCACTACAGCTCTGTGCTGTTCTGGGGCTGAACCCCATTCTACACCCAGAGGATTAGCCCCAGGAGGATGAGCCTCAGCAAAGGAATGGGTTTGGGTAGAATACAACCATCTGTATTCCCTCCTTTCCTGACAGCAATGACCTTTATCCTCATGGGAAGTTGGGGTAGAAGAGGGAATTTCTGGACCTTCCTATGCTGTGGTGGTCCTTGTCTCCATCAGACCGCTGGCCTCTGGCTGGACCTGAAGCACCTCAGAGTGCTCTGAGCTGTGTGGAAGGACCAGGCTGCCCAGGACACAGGCAGTCCTTCACTGATGGTTCCATGTCCATGAGGGGTGTCCTGGGCACAGCAGAGGCTCTGAGCTGAAACAACCACCCCTCTTGTGTTTGAGCTGGCTTTGAACCATGGAGAGAAGGGGAGCAAAGAAATCGCCCCTGGGGACCCCCTGGCGTGGTTGAACACAAAACCCCCCACACTTCCCTTCGTGCCGGCAGAGACCCGGCCACGGGAGCGGTCGCTGCTGGGTCCTGTGTTACTGAACTACCCAAAGATGAAACGTTCTTGTGCAGCCTGCCACAGGAGCCACCTCTCCGCTGGTAGCTCAACAACAAGGGCTTTCTCACTCTGCAGCCACCAGAGCTGCAGCCTCTTGAGCACATTCTTATGGGCTCGGCCTGGGATACACGGAGCATCTCCTGGGAAATGCCGACAGTCATGAAATCACCAAAGTGAGCAGGAGTTCAGGGTGTTCAGTGTATTGCAGGGCTCAGCCCAGACGCTCTGACTTAAAGTATGTGCTGGAAATACCATAGAGTAAATGTATTTGAAGAAGTTGGAGTGTAACACAGCGTAGGGATTGACTTGGAATGAAACAGAAAGGTGTTTGGATGGTGTGCTGACAGAACGTCAGAGAAACATGTTAAAGTATTTTACTGGAATAACAAGTTAGTAATTACCTGTGTCGCTGTTGTTAGTCTGCTAGTGCAGATACTTGTTGCTAGTTCCTAAGCCTCACTTTGGTACCTTGGTTGAAGCTTGGCTATGTTTAATATTCTATTTCCGGGAATTTGTGTGTGTCTGTAAAGAGAAAGTTTTGTGTATCTGCATTCACAGCTTGTAGAAAAGGAGTATGACCTAAACAGTGTGAGCCTCCTTTTATTCAAAAGGGAAAGGAAAGGAGTTATGACTTAAACAGTATGAGCCCCCTTTTATTTAAAAGGACAAGTTTGTGTAACACAGGTAGCTGTAACATAATGAAACTCCCCCCCACTTTAAGTTTAGCTTTCCAGCTGCAGTCCCAAATCCTTATGAATCCAGTGGTACAAGACAAGCATTGAGTCATTTCTGCTTTCTTTTCCATATCTCCTTCACAATGCCTCCACAACAGTGGTTAGAATATTTGAAGTCCCCACTTGAAGCCATTCTGTATCACTGCCATGTCTTTAACTGAAATGCAGCAAACTGCATTAGATTTTTGACAGCTGATTGAGTCCTGGTTTGACTGTGGCAACAGCTTTAAACTGCAGCTTGACACTTGCTTATATTTCACTAGTTGGGGCTGTAATGTCACAAATATCACCCATTTGATCTTCCTTTATCAAAATCAGCTGAAGCTTTATTTTTTGAGCTTCTTGCAGGATTGTTAATATAACAGTTAATTCTCCTACATCATTGCCCTGTGTGATTATTTCACAGCACCAACACAATACACACGCCGCACACAAAAGATCAAAATGATTCCAGCTTGTTTGAGGGATTCAAAAGGGCCTGTGATGCTCTAGACACAAGAGCAGGCATTTAACAGAACAGAATCGCAACTGCACATACATCAAGGTAGATCAAAGGCAGGGGAGAGCGCACATTTACATAGGGACGGGATGATGCTATGGGAACCCGGGCGCTGGGCTGGAGCAGCGCGCGGGCAGGAAGGGAATGAGGAAGTTCAGTGGGCATCAGTGGGGGGTGCTTGTATTTTTGTTTGGGGTTTTTCTTTACTTACTTTGCATTATCTGAAAGGCTGCAAAAGATCGACAGGGCTCTGAGCCTTTGTAGCCTTCACTCGCTGGTGTAAACCCACGCCGTGACCAGGGGATGACTCCAGTTCACGCTGCCTGAACATCTGGACCAGGGGCTCTGCTGCATGTGAATTTCTCCACCTTTCAAAAGACAGAAAGGTGAAGAAACCGTTTTTATAACAGTTGTTAAACAAAGTACTTACAGAAGCTACTGATACTTTTTAAACCATTCTACAGATGTTTGGGGTTTTCTTGTAGTAACTTGTATTCTTTTACCCTTGTGACCTGGTGCTGATGATTTGAAATCTTTCTCTTTTACAGGGCTGAAACCAGGAAGGGAACAGTAGCTGCTATAAAATCCAAAGGTAAGAAACAAATGTTACACTACTTAAAATCAACAGGTCTTTTGAAGTGTATTTTACATTGTAGAAAACCTCCAAGAACAGCACTATGGGACTGTATAAAACATGGGTGTAAGGAGATGGGACAGTGTGGAATTGTCCTGTCTCAATGCAGGAGCCAGCAAATAGTTGACAGTGACAAATCCTGGACCAGAGAGGATGTGTTTCATACAACACATGGTCTGGTCCCTGTCACAGTCTTTGCAGGGTTTCATTCAAATGGTAGTGAATAGCAGGTAGGTAGGAGCAAACCCAGAGAAGGAAAAACCTGATGTTTTAATGATCTTCCCTTTGAAATAGGGATTGCAGAAGGGGTGGGCAGCAGCGTGTCTGGCTGCAGGGTTGCAGCAGGTGGGTGCACAAAGGTGCCTGCATCTGGAATGATTTTTGCCCATGAGCAAGCTGGCTTTCTTTTCACTTGGTGGCTGCACCCTGTGTGTTTTCATTCCCCCTGCCTTTCAGCTTTCTCCTTTTCACCACCATGAGGACCACTGGTGACTGAAGTCACCTCAGATGGAGCTTTGTCAGTGAAACTGGAGCAGGGAGGTTTTTGCCCGGAGCTCAGCTTTCAGCACTGTGCAGTGCTGGCTGGTACAGAAAGTGGTTTAGTGCTGTGGTGCCTGGGTTGCTTTAAGGGTGCCGTCAGCGATGGTGCTTTGGTGCCATTTGAAAGCCTCTCTCACCCCCCAGCCCTTCTCAGCTGGGGAGTTTCATGTTGTTAGAGCCTTTCCCAGGCGCTCAGCGCAGGAGTGAGCCCAGGGCACAGCTCTGATGTTCCCAGCGGAGCGCAGACCTGCCGGCCGGGGGGCCGGGGACACAGGATGAAAGATGCAGCTGCTGCACTTGGAGATAAGGCGTTTATAGAGCTTGTGCCATCAGAAGCACTAAGGCATTAACAGCGCCTCAGTCAAGCGCGAGCTGACACGTCTGCGTGAGGTGTGTCAGCCTCCCTCCTCCTGCTGCCCCGTGCCACGGCTGGGGCACCATGTCTGTCACACTGACCTCGCACAAAGAGCAGCCCCACGGAAGCAGGTGGGAGCAGGCAGACAGCACAGTGCTGTGAGCCACTGTGGCCTTGGCTTGTGCTTCCCCATGTGCTTTTCACTTGGTTTTTATCCACAGATCAAATGAGTTTACACCTTGAGGCAGCTCTCGGACACAACACATTTCAGTGTGATTGTGTTCCCTTTCAGTGAAGTTGTTTGCTAATTCCCAGAGGTGTTTGTTGGTGCCAGGCAGTTCCCTGAACTCAAATCCCGCCTGGGTTTGATCCTGCCCCAAAGTGGCGATACATCATTCGTGACGTCATTGCCGTTTTGATGCCAACTCTGTGATGTCATGGTCCAACCGTGACTTCACCGCGGGGTCATGGAGGGGGAGAAAGTGGCACATAATGGACAAAGCTGTAATTGAGGCAGCAGCTGGGCAAGTAAATTGCTTGGAGTGGAAATGTTCTCTCAAGCTACCTTGAGGGACAATGAAGTGGGGCCTCTGAATGAGCCGCTGTCTGGCCACAGCAGCTCCCTTCTGGAGACACGATGTACCCACATCACGCTGGATTGGAAACACACACCTCAGTCTTGTGGGCTTCAGAACGTCCCTTCTCTCTAAGCTGTGCTGTGCAGCTGCCTCGGGAGAGCTGCAGAATGATCATGAATGACATGAACATGAAAAGATTTGATAACTGTTGGTTTTTTTCTCCTCCCCCTCAGCTTTCTGGGGCGAATCTGACGAGAGCAGCTCTGAGCTCGAGGCTGCTCTGCGCCCCCAAGGCCACAGCACAGGGGCAGATGAATTTGATGACTTCTATGATTAAGATCCCCCTGCTCACTTTTGGGGAGAAATAAGCAGAATCATCTTGCTGCTGTCTGAAGTGCAGCTCCTCACTGCATGGTCAAAGAAATGTAAATATAGAATAAATATTCCTTGGTTCTATACCTGGACTGCTGTGCGTGTGTTCTCTTTAGTGCTCAGTGTTTCCCTGATCTCGCAGCACTCCTGCCCCGTGAGACTGAGCCTGTCTGGGGTCTGGTTTTGGGGAAGAAATGAGGATGTCAAAGATGTCCACCTGCTGTGAGACACCAGCACAGTGCTCGTCTGAGCATGAGCACCTCAGTGGGCTGCGGCTCTATAGCACAGCCTCCTCCCAGGCAGGAAGCTGGGTCTCTGAGTAGCATCCCATGGAATTTAGAGTGGTTATTTAATGGCCAAATGAGTCTTGTTTCCATTCTGGCACTTCTTCCACCCTGCCTGGCCACTGCCCCTGTTGCACATGAACATAAAGACCATCCTCTTCGCATGCTTGCATGAATTCTGCTATTTGCCTGCAGAGCTAGATGTGGTTTGCAAAAGGCCAGCAAGCAGTCTGGGTATGCATACATATGCTGCGCAGGGCAGGCTGGCATGTTTGATCTTTATCTTCTGCAACAGATCAAGAAGAAGAAAAGCATAAAATGTACATTCTGAATTCAGCACATTTTGGAACAGCAGCATTTACATGTGGTGAGCCCAGTGCTTTTCTGCTTGTGCTTGCTTTGTACAATCCACACGGGCGCTGCTGCATGGACATCACAGAACAGGATGGCTCTAGAAGCTTCATGCATTTTTAATTTTCCTCCTTTAATTCCTTTTATCTAAAATGAAGTTCATTAAACATGAGATTTTCTTTCGAAGGGAGAAACCAGAGGACATATTAAAAAAAAAAAGAAATCTGTTCATAATTATGGGAAGTTCAAAAGCACAAAGCAGGACCCCAATTACAGCAGCGCTGCATCTCTGCACCCCGGCCATCAAAAGCACGTTTTAAATGGTAACAATATGCAGCTTAATAAAGAGTGTGTAGCTCAGGAATATGAAACAAAGGCTCAGGGAAGGCTGGAAAGCGAGAACCCCTGAGCACGGCCGGCTGCGGGCTCGCTGACTCCTGTGGGTCTCAGGCAATGGTGCAGTGTTGAGTGTTCCAACAACTGGAAACTCGGCTGCCTGAGGGATGGAGCTGGGTGAGCGCAGGACAGGGCTGGTGTCGTGTGGGACAGCTGGATTCCACTGGGGGCGTTAATGTCCTCCCCCACTGTGCCGGCATTTCTGTGCCTCTTCAGCCAGAGGCTATTTTGGATTAAGACTCCTGTGATCCCTCCTGTCAGAGGCTGGCTGCTGATACGGCCTCAGCCAGAGCACCAGCATGGATCCCTTGCCCTTCCCGGTTGTTACCACAGCAGCTCCCCATGTCCTGTGGGACCACTGCCCTGCGTCATGGGCATGCTGGTTAAGGGTTGGCAGGTGTGTGGAGAGGAGAGAAGGCAGCCCATCGGGAAGGCAGCCCTGTGGAGGAGGTCTCCTGCCGCCCAGAGCAGCAATTCCCACGTGCCAGGCAGATGGCACATCTCCCAACATTTCATTGCAATGGCTAACTTCAGTCAGCACTTGGTTATCAATACCAGGGGGAGGGGAATCAGAACTGTCCTGCAACTTGTCACTCTTGAGAACAAATTCCAACATGTGATGGCAACAGGACCTGAAGAAGGGCCAGCACCCCGTCATACTGCTGCTCCTGGTGGGCTACCAGGTAGGTTGAGAGGCCTCTCCCAGCAGGGTGGTGGAGGCTCGTTTTCCTTAGTGTACTGCAGGCTCAGCATCACCCAGGAGCTCTGTACCAGAACCAGAGTCTGAACCCGCTACCCGCAGGCTAGTGCCTGGGGCATGGCTCCGTGCTGCGTTCTCCAGATCATCCCTAAGCTGTTGTAATTTATTCCTTCTCGGCC